TCCTTTTTTTTTTTTTTTTTTCTTGTGTGTGTGTGTGTGTGTGTGTGTAAAAAAGGGGCTCAAAAAGCCGTAGTGTGTCATTTATCACACTATCTCTTACAATTGTCAGCACACATCATTCCCTCTCTCTCTTTCTCTTTCTCTCTCTCTCTCTCTCTCTCTCTCTCTCTCTCACATAAAGTTGCAGCCCGTTAAATTTTTCTTGAGGAGCCTGGGTGCAGTGGGTGGTGCGGGTATTGGCGTAGTGGCGTAGTGGCGTAGTGGCGTAGTGGCGTGTTGAGAGAGAGGGGTTCAGTAGTTGGGTTGGTGCTGGGCGTTGGAGATTATATTGGATAGATACGACATGGCTGGGTGGGGCACACTCGGCATGGGTCGGGCTGCTTTGGCGGGGCTGCAGAGGTGTCGGGCCGTGAGGACCCGCTTGCCGCGCCGCTGGGCATCACAAATTGTCGCCCTCTCCCAATTTGACACTGTGAGTACTGCTCCAATGGACTTTGTAACCGCGGTCGCCCAAGTTGGCCCTCAACTCATGGCAATCACCTCTCATAGGTGGAGATTCGCTCAGCCCTTCCCGTTGTGGTCCGAGGCCTCAACCCCTTGGCCATGGACACGGCCCATCTCGATGAACGTGATCAATTGGGCCTCATGTTGAGCCAGTACGTGGCGCCTCCATGTCCCCAGAGCCCTCCTTTTTGATGACCACGTCGAGTCTGGCTCGCTGACCCACATCCCGGCACAGGCAGCCCCGCGACAACTTTGAGCTGACAGACGATGCGCCAGAAATGCAAGCAACCGTTGAAACTGCGAATGACCGCGTGTGCATCACCATTCCTTCCGAGTTTGGTCAAGCCGACGCCAGCCTGGGCCTCCACGTCTGGCTCCCCTTTTCCTGCAGTACGCCCACCGGTCCAGCGCAGGCAGGTGCAGGGCTACCGTGGCACTGACAATCTCGCAACTCTTCTGCTTTACAAACTGGCTTCAATCATATTCGCAGACATTGACGTTCAGACTGAAGGCTCTGCCGGGGTCGAGCTTCATGGCCTCGAAGGAGGGAGAATTGCCGTGCGCACCGTTGCCGGTATGAGACATACATCTTGCCGTGGCGAGCCTTCACCCGTGCCCACTAGCTCCGCCGGTCTTGACGGCCAGGCAGCGCTGAAGAGGCGGTTTTTCTCCTCACTCTCTCGGTATCATGACTGGAACTGCCTGGCCCCGCAGGCTCGTGCCACTTGGCTGGCGTGAAGGCACCCTCCTATGCCATCACCTCCGATTCGGGAGACGTGACTAGCTCCGTCCTGCAGGGAGACATTGATGTCACCCTCCAGTCGGGTAACCTCACTCTCAAGCGGCTCATGGCGCTCGAGGTCAGTCCCGACCCTCAACAGGTCCCAATTGATATCCCCATGCAAAGGGTGTAACCTCCTTTTTGCGCCAGACCCTGATTTGTGTCAACCACAACCGAGTGTTAGAGCACGCTGCGTTTGCATGCCGGCAACTGCAAAGTGGAGGCTCTCTACGGCACCGTGCGTATGGAGCTGGGTGGGAACAACGCCGTCCACGTCGGAGACTGTCACGGCAACTGCTTTATCCACGGGTCCACGGCCTCTGTCTTTCTCGGTACCGTTGATGGCCATGCCGATGTGGAATTGGAAGCTGGCGACGTTGATGCCTACCTACTCCGTGTGGATGCCGCGCGCTTTGTCAACCACCAGGGTGTGTCCCAAAATTTCCCGGGTCGCTATGCTTGCCCCGTGCCTCGGACGCATCTGGAATTCTGCAATGCTTCATCACACACAATTTATGGTGGCACGATAGGCAAAGTCCAACTGCGGCTCTCCCCTGATCTCAGCGCCACGCTGCGCGTACCAGCCACCTCCAACTTGCATCTGACCGACGAGTTTGGTGCCTTGCCTCCTTCTGAACCACAACCAGCTAACCCTGACGCAACCGAGCTCAACGGTAAGCATCGTCTTTTCCGGCTCGCATCGGCTCGACGGCTGGCTGACACCTGTCTAACTTCCGCCCACAGTGAAAGTCAACGCGGGCGAGGTCGAGGTGCCGGTCCACGCTCCCGAAGTGACCCTTGGCATTCAATCGTACATCAGCGCCATGTGGGGAAAACGTCGTGGGGCGTGATGTGCAACTGTAGCAACAAGATTGGTCCTATCAGTTAACCTTGGGCTTCTGAGTGCCATGTGAGACCTCTATCAATTGCTAATTTACACAAATCCTAGTGAATACGAGTCGTCGCGAGGTTGTTCCAAGCACCGGCACGAGCCGGCCACAACCCTTTTAGTGAGCGCGCGCCTGCTGCACGGGGAGGATATAAAGACGACAGACATGTGGTGCGCAGCACGATCATCCCGAGTCGTGGTACCACAGGAACGGGAGAGCCGCATGTCTCCGCTGGCGCGAGACTAGAAGATGCTTTGCTCAAGAATAATGTAATCAAAGCCGGCCGGCGGTGTCGAGACAAAATTACGAAACTCAATGTCAAGGATGGCACCATCATCCACCGCCAGGACCGGGTACACGCTGCCACGGATACCATGGACTTCCACGTCCTGCGGCGCCCCGTTGATGTAGAAGCGCAAAGCAATGTGGTCGTAACTGACGCTCTGTAGGCCAAGAGAGTGTAGCAGATCAGCGGCGTAAGACATTGGCCCAATGTCGAGCTGAACGGCGTGATGGCGCAAAACCCCAGGTGCCCGTCCCTGGTGCATCGACATTCACTTACAATGACGTCTCCTTCGCGCACGTCACTACGCATTCGGCCAATTTCCTGATCCTTGTGGTAAATACCGCCATCCTGTCGCAGTACCTAGATGGCAGCCCCATACAGTCATTCCCCCAAGACGACGGGTAAGAAGATTGAAACACTACCGGTCGCCATGTTGGCCGACTGCCTGATCAGTGGAGTGCCGGCACTGCGCGTTGGCACTGCGCGTTGGCACTGCGCGTTGGCACTGTGCGTTGGCACTGCACGCTGGCACTTGCAGCCAATGACAATCCAATTTCAAGCCGTACCCAAGTGTGTTCGTCCTTGCCAAGCGGGAGTATGTTGAGATTGAGGCTCCGCGTGCCCACCCCCAGTGCCCACTGGCCAGTTGTCTGAATTTTGACCTCCCAGTAGCTTTTGTTCTGCATCAGTGGCACGTTGGCCAACGCGGCACCACAACCTGCAAGGGTGCGGACGCAAAGGCAAGTCAGCAAGAGATGGTTTTCCATCAAACATCTACCCATTGGAACGACGGGACGGGGCATGCGCAAATGAAATCCCAGCAACAGACCACATAACCGCGTGCCGTTCTTCACCACAACGGCTTCCTGCGAATAACACACGCACACACGCACACACAAACACGCACGCAGGCATGCGTCAGTAGAAGGAGTAAGAGAGTCAGCGGTGCTTGCTCAGCGACTGCGATGGTCGTGAGCTCGAGTCAAATCGGTCTCTGCCGGCTTGTCGGCTAGTCGGATTGGCGGATCGGTCAGTGCCCATTTCCCATCATCACTCGTGCCACCAACCTCGCCGATAAAGTCATGGTCCAGTGCCACCTGCAAACCCGGCCAGCGACAAGAGTGAGCGCACCGTCAAACGCGCGACGCTTCGAGATGAGGGGCGGGGTCAGATCAAGCCCATCTCTCGACAGAAGACCCTGTCGTTCGATCGCCCACTTTGCAATCCCGTGCGCAAGGGAGAGACAGACAGAGAGACGGAGAGACGGAGAGAGGCATGACGAGCGACCGCATGAACCCACCGCCTCCTTGTTCACAAAGCGGAACGTATGACCAGCCGGCGGGCCGCGCTTGCGGCAGCAACACAAAAGGTCCATCCTGTGCCCCCTACACACACACACACACACACACACACACACACACACACACACGTGCTATTGATCAGTTGAAGTACCAAGCACTCCTTCTGCACCCCCCATGGCCTCCGCCCCCGCCGCCATCGTCCACACACACACACCTCTCGCTGCTGTTTTTCTTGAAAGAGCAGTTTGATCAACTTCCCTCTCTATCTTTGTATGCATGCGTGTGTGTGTGTATTGCGCTCTCTTTCAAAGTGTGTGTGTGTTCTCTCTCTGTTTCTCTGTCTCTCTACTCTCTCTCTCTCTCTCTCTCTCTCTCTCTCTCTCTCTCTCTCTCTCTCTCTTTGATACATGTGGTAGTTGTGCTTTTCTGCTCTTTATTTCTCTCTTTCTCAAACCGACCATCTCTTTCTCTCTCTTTCTCTCTCTTTTTCTCTCTCTCTCTGCTCTCTCTCTCTGCTCTCTCTCTCTGCTCTCTCTCTCTGCTCTCGCGCATCTTCTTCTTCATCTTCTTGAAAGAGAGTGTGTGTATGCGTGTGTGTGTGTGAGAAGCAGCATCATGGTTGTGGGGGGATGGCGGCAGATGGCGGTTCGGGGAGGGCAGGCGGTTGGGCGCTGTCAGCAGGGGCGAGGGTTGAGATGGACGCTGGTGCAAGCTGGGGGTTTGCAAGAGGCTATGAGCAAGCCCGAGCCGACCATTGTCATGTCTGGCATTCAGGCCACGGGGATTCCCCACTTGGGCAATTACCTCGGCGCCCTCCGCAACTGGGCTCAGGTGCAGGATCCAGCCAGTCCAAACGCGGTGAAGGACGCGCAATTCTATTTTAGCGTCATGGGTTCGTGTTCTCGCGCTGCTGGCCCAGCTGTCTCATCGACCAACCTGTGCCGACCTTACACACCGATTATGTCCTTGCACTGACTGATGACGCACATGCGTACGCGGGGGCGATCATGAGCAGACCTCCACTCCTTGACAGTCCCTCAAGAGCCGCAGCAGCTGCGCAGCAATATTCGCGATACCTTGGCCGCCGTTCTTGCCGTGGGCATTGATCCGGAACGCTGTGTCTTTTTTCAGCAGTCCCAGGTGCGCACGTGGACTGGCCGCGGCATCTCGGATGGAGGGGGGGCACGTGGTGGCCGTATAAAAAGCACATGACCTTCATCCCATCCCTTAGGTGGCTGCCCACACACGAATGGCCTGGTTGCTGGCCTGTCACACGCCTTCCGGAGAGCTCAACCGCATGACCCAGTGGAAGGTGCGGCCCAACCTCCTGCGCTGGCTAGGATGCCGGGCTTGCTCTCGTGTCCCTCACCATTTCATGGTGCTGTTCTAGTCAAAAGCCTCCCAGCAAAAGACCCCTAGCCTTGGCCTCTATGCCTATCCCGTGCTCATGGCTGCCGACGTGCTTCTTTACAAGTGCGCCAGCTACCTACCCGTATTCCAGCGCCCTTGCCGCTTTTCCGTGTGTGCTGCTCTCATCCGGTCCTCTTGGCCCCCACGATAGCACTACGCATGTCCCTGTGGGTGAGGATCAACTGCAACACCTCGAGCTGACGCGAACCATCGCCGGCAGCATGAACAACCGCTACGATAGCCAGCTCTTCGTCCTGCCCCAGCCATTGCTGAGTATGACCTGCACGTATTGGTGGTGGTTCCCTGGTGCTGTGTGGGGGGTGCCGTTCTCCAACCCTATTCTCGACATGTGCCTCATTTTCTCTCTCTTTCTCTCCCTCTTTTGCTTTTTCGTCCACGCCGCCCTCTAGCGCCTGCCGCACGCATCCGAAGCCTACGAAATCCTACGGCAAAGATGAGCAAGTCTGACCGCTCGGTGCACAGCCGTATCGAATTACATGGTGCGTGTGTGTCTTGCGCTCGAGCCTTGCCAGCTTGTACGTCAGGTCACTGATCCTTCTGTGGTTGTGTTTGTCAACTTGCAGACGACCCGGATACCATTCGTGACAAGTTGCGGCGTGCTGTAACGGATAGCTTGCCGGGTGTCTCCTTCGATTTCCAGGTGAGCAGGGTTGGCTTTCCGACCTTGTGGCTTCTTTGCACTCTTTCGGGTGTGCTACCCCAGCTCAATCCGACTCGCTCGTCCCTCGCATCTTGTGCGTTGCAGGAGCGGCCCGGTGTGAGCAACTTGGTGGCCATACATGCCGCGCTGTCCGACCGTAGCCCCGAGGAGGTGGCCAGCGAACTGGCACATCTGGACATGGCCGCTCTGAAACAGGAGGTCACCGATGTCGTGATAGAGGGTCTGCGTCCCGTTCGCGTACGTTTCGTACCCCGTGTGGCGTGCGTGTTTGGCTTGCCAGCCTTTCCGGCCAGCCTCCTGCCTTGGGAGGAAGCTCATGCCGTGTGGTTTGGGCTCGCACTATTGCAGGAGCGGTTAGAGTATTGGCGTTCGCACCCGGCCGAGCTGGAAGCCGTCTTGGATCGCGGCCGAGTTCGCGCCGCTGCCACGGCCGATGCCACGGTCCAGCGTTTCGAAAAGGCACTTGGTCTCCAGGTGTTCTCTTAGTACACACGTCCCCCCCCCCCCCTTCCCCTGACTTTTCGAATAATTTTCGATATTTTATCCGAATTTATTGCTATTTTTCGGTCATTTGTCGTGATGATCCCTTCCGACTCTCAATGCTCACACCTAGACGGCGAGTTTGTGTGAATGACAACGTCGGCCCCGCCGCATAGGTGAACCCTTTGAGCCTTTTGACTGAATTATTACATCTTTTATTCAATTTACACGGCCGGCCACCGCAGTGGCCAAAGGGACCGCTATCAACGCAAATTAAACGTCAACGACATTATCCATCGAGGACGTGAATTTTATCTGTCATACGCGAAATGGTCTCGTCCAGTTGATGGTGGTGCCTGGTGAACGATGGGTGGAGCACGAGGGCTCCATGCGCTGTGAGAGAAAGATGGCAGAGTAGAATCACAGCCGCGCGATTGTTGAGCGGTGGTGCCTGACCTGTCTACATTCAGACCCTGAAGTTTGACGAGCTCCACTGCATTCAGAAGCTGTTCACGAGTCTGCGCACGTGATTAGCCGATACAAGGCGGGGCATGAGCAACATGAGATGGGCAAACCAGTGCAGACACGGACAAGAAGCATAGGCTGAGGGCCAAGCGTCATACATCGGCTTGCTGGCGCCGCATTTGCTCGGCGAGGATTTGAAGTTCCTCGTCCCGACGGCTAGCCTCTTGCAGAGCTTCGTTGCGTTGTCGGCGGCTTTGCTCGGCGACGCGACCAAGATCCAAGAGTTGTTGCTGCCGCTTGTCAGCCACCTTCTCGCAAAGGAACGCGGTGAGTCCACAAATCAGACACAAGTCACACAAGCGGGGGCAGCAGGGCACCGGTACCAAGTTCACAAACATGGACACACCTCGAGGACTTGTTTGAGATGAGCACTGTAGGCCTGATTCTGCGCGCGAGCCTCATCGAGCTGTTCTTCCAATGTCATGTTGCGACTCTCGAGATCGCGCTTGGCACGCGAAGCCACATCCAAGCGTCGCCGCAGGTCTTGGAGGAGGGCCTTGGCTTCGCTGACACCCGAGTTGGCGGCTTCCAGCTGCTCGTGCTGGCGTGCCATTTTCTGGCGCTCCCGCGCCAGTTCACGATGAACCACCTCCACTTCCTCCTACGCACGGGCCAGACCCACGCGAGGGTAGCGATGAGAACGCAAGACGCCAGCGGTTCGAGTTCACCCAGGATGCAAGCTGGCGGCGTCGCTCGTACCTCATGCTGGCGATTGAGGTCGGCTAGGATGCGCTCATATTGTGCCGTGGTGCGGTGCAAAACAGGATCATCCTATACAAACGGTGCAGGTCAGCAAGTGCAACCAACGTGACGCAGACACCACTGCGAGTACCTGTGTGCTGGTGTTGCGACCGACGCTCGCGCTCTATAATGCCAAGGGGCCGCAGCATGTACAGGTGACCATGAGCCAACAGTGACCATAATCAGGCGCAATGCATGCCTGGCTGGAGCACGGGCGAACACGTACAGCCTCGCGCTGGGCACGGAGCTCGAGGAGCTGGCGCTGCAATCGGCTGTTCTCACTGCGGAGGTGCTCCAACTCATGGGCATCCACCTGGCCGCGATCGGTAATTTGAACCTTGCTTCGCAACTCGCGCACTTCCCTGCACACGACCGCATGTCAGACGCAGCGGAGGGATCGACTGTTGATGCAAAGCAGACATCGAAAGATGGTCGAGATCTACCGTTGGAGCGCTGCCACGTCGTTTTGTGCCCGAGCCAGCTACCGAGCACGGCAATGTTCCTCTGGGTCAGGGGGATGCCAGGGGCGAGCACGGGATTGGGGCCAAGTGCGAGCACCTACGGCGTCGTCAAGACGATCCCGCTCATGATTGGCAGACTCAAGCTGACGTTCGAGCTCGGAACAATCGCGCTGCAATTCCTGATTGCTGGCCGTCTAAAAGGCCAGGAATGGGCAACACCCGTTGCACGCATAGAAATCAGGGCCAGCTGTTGTCTTGGCACGATGCAGGTAGCTGACACACACCTGCTCCTCGTTCTCATTCAGCAGCTCGTCGTTCTCCTGGACAATGAGTCGCACTTCCGCTTCGAGCTCCTCAATTCGCTTGGCGTATGCCTGCAGCCGAGCGACCTCGTCGGCTTCATCCGCCATGGTCGCCATGAAGCTGCTCTTGCCTGCCGATCTCACCTGCCATATAAGCACCAGCATATCGCATGAGCTGCGGCACGGTCTCCGAGACTACCCTCGCCAGCTTTTCCCTCTCTCCTCCGACGCCTTCAATGCTGAATCCCCTGCCATATGCCATATTCTTCACCACCCCATAACCCCCCCCTCCCCCCCTCCCCCTTCACCACACTGCTTCTCGCTGCCATTTCCCGCTCCACACACACACACACACACACACACACACACACACACACACACACACACACACACACACACACACACACACACACACACACACACACACGCACTCTCTCTCTCTCAAAAATTCAAAAACCTCTCTTGGAAATTTTGTAACAGAAATGTAAAATACTTTTCTTTAAAGAGAGAGATTTGAGAGAGAGAGAGAGATTTGAGAGAGAGAGAGAGAGAGAGGCGGAGGGTGCGTCGCGTTGGACCGAATCGGCTGACCGAGGGACCGAGTGAGCAGGTCCCAAGCGACACCTGTCCACTGGTTCATTTGGCCACCTGTCGGTTCGCCCATACGGTGATCTTGGGTACACTGGGGGCCGTGCAGTTGGGGTGGGGTTATATTTTAGTTGGTCGCGCATGTGGGGTAAGTGAGAGATCTGTGGTACGACTAGCGAGGGGCGGGAGACACGTGGGGACTTGAGCGCCGAACGGGCCGCAAGGTCCTTTTGCGTTTGGTCCCCTTTTTTTTCTTTTTGTGCTGGAGTATGGACTGTAACAGGGTCTCACAGGCAGGGCTGCTGGCTGCGTCTTTGTTGCACATCGTAGGTTTTGTGTCCTGGACCACTTTCGACTTTTTCCACCCGCTGAGATCCGCGTTACGCCGTGCGTGCGTCACATCGCAGCACCCACAGCATGGCAAAAGCACGCGGCGCACCTGAAAATCAGGTGGAGCGCCTAGAGCAAACCATTTTCTTTGATGGTGTTTATGACGCCAACAACCAGCGCCTGGATGTCCAGACCATTTTCGACACCAACGAGGTCGTCGGCATTCTGTGGATGGGGTGGACTGACATGCGAAGCCTTGAGATTCGGGACAAAATCATCGAGCACTACAACCTTCTGAAGAGCCAGAATGCCCGCTTTGAGCTCATCTTTGTCTCTGGCGACGAGACGCTCGACGACTACAACGAGCACGTCAAGATTTACCCTTGCCCCCGCGTTCCCTACAACCCCTCCATTCCCTTGGCCATCTCGCGCAACTTTTATGCTTTTGCGCCACCGCGCATCCTTCTCTTTGATTCCAACGGTCAACTCTTCACCAAGGAAGGCGACGGCATGTTGCTCCGCTTTCCCGAAAAGTTTCCCTGGAAGCATCACATTGTCAACCTGAACCAGCTCTTCCTCCTCGTGTGTGTCATTGCCCTTCTTCTGGGTGGCCTTTATTACTTTTTGCTTCATGTTTCCATCTAAACTCGGACACACGTCTCGGACAGACAAGACTTTGCATCTTTCCTTTTTGCCTTTGCACGCGCATGCAGACAAGCACACTCTCGCAAGGAAGTTGGATCGCCTGGGCAGATTGATTGCTCCTTTGGTGCGGCCACCCGAGGCCACCCGGCCCCTGCGCATTCTTCTTGGAAAGGCATCCCAAGGCTTTCTCCCGCTGTGCAAATGCGATCATACCGGGCCTGACTCGATGGGGTTCCCTCGTCGCCGAGTGTGGTATAGTAGGCGGCATCACATGGCCGCTGGCTTGAGATATCGCAGGCCCCGATTTTGATGTTTGACGGCACAAAATCAATTGTTGAATATACCCGAGTCTCCATGCACGCCTTCAAGAATTGAAAGTAACCAAAAATCAGCCTAGCAATCTCGCTTTTATTGGTCGTGGGGCGTTTGGAGTGAGAGCCACCACAGCGGGCAGGGTCACGGCGCTTCACCTTGAACAATTGCATATGGTTCAAGCTTGGACTTGATGGCAAAGCGCCTCCAGGCGGAAGTCACCCTTGATGTTACTCAACACCACAATACCAACCGGGACACCTGCGAGGGGCACCTTGGAAATAGAAAAAAAGCTTGTCTCGCACATGCTTTTACTTGGCTGTCACCTAAGAGATCATAAGGGCACGCAACAGGACACAGCGCAGGAAGTGATGCTCGGCGAGAAGGCAGGCCCGCAAAACGATGCAAAGGTGGCACGTTTGACATACGATGCGAGCAAAGCGTTGGTGCATCGTTTGCTTGGTCTATGGCAGATGAAAGCGCAAGTGAAAGCAAGGTCAGACAGGGGGCTAGGCGGGGTATTGACGCGAGTCAAATCGAAACCGGTTTGATTAAGACAGTTGAACCCTCCCAGACCTCCTGGCTACTTTTGTCCTTGCTTTTCAACAACAGCAAAAACTTACGGCCACGGCGGGCATGCGGCCTCCGGCCTGGACGATGCGCTCTACGGAGCGCTTCTATTGAGAGCCAAATCGCACAACGGCAACACAAAGTGTATCAGAATGAAGGGGCGTAGAAGAGCAGGTGCAGCTCTGCAGCAAGGAAAAAAAGAAGCAAAGAAAGAGAAAGTAGGAGAAAAACGCAATCAAGACAAACATTGGGCACAAGCAAACCGCTGGGACACTCACCATCTGCTTGACCTTGTTGGGGTTGCTCTTGATGGCGGGTTGTTTGGCCCGCGCCTTTTTGGCGGCATCGTTCTTGATGCTGACTTTGAGCTTCTTGGTCTTGGGCCCGTTGGTGGCAACCACGGTCTTACCCTTGATGCCCTTGCCCTGCTTCTGCTTTTGCTGTTGCTGAGACTGTTGTGCTTTCACGGGCTTGTTGCCCCCCTTCTTGGCTTTCTTTTGTCCGCCGGCCTGTGATGGGGTCGCCGCCTGGGAGGAGAAAAGGGGGAAGGCAGGAACGCGGGTAAGGCACAACGAAGCAAAAAGGACGGGAAAGAAACAAAACGTTGAGGGTCTCATCGGGTGCAGGGGCAAAGAAGGCCCAAATGCATCTCGGCACTGGCATCGTTGACCGTGTCAACCAACTGACCGGGAGTCCGCGCTTGGCGTTGGCGGCGGCTTGGCGTTGGTTCTTGCGTGAGGCTTGCTGTTGGTCCTTGGTGGCGGCCTTGCGCTTGGCAGTAGCGCTCTCCGCTGCCTTGGCCCCCTGTACAGGGATGGCGGAGTTGAGATGCACCGGAATGGTCGAGTGTAACGGCGCGAGCGGCCATCATGGGGTAGCCGGTACATCATCAGCACCTTTTGTTGTTGCTTGCGTTGCTGGCCGCGCGGGGTCGTAGCAGCGGCCTTGCCCTTGCCCTTGCCCTTGTTGGCTTTCGTCGCTGCCGGGGCTTTTTTCATGCTCTTGGCCAGCGCATCTTGAGGTTTGGGTGCAAAAGCCAAGAGGGGGGCGGAGGTGAGGCTTGCAGTATCACGGGGTTTAGGCAGAAGCAGAAGACTCGTACCGAGACTTTGATCCACATTGACATCCATGGCAGCGGTGCGATATATTCTCTGCGCTGCACATGCGGCAGAAAGAGAGCAAGCAAAGGTGAGCCCGTTCGGCGCTGGCTCATGTTCACAGGCAGGCGAGGCGAGGGGGACACGGCAGCACGACACAACAAGTCAACACAACAACAAAGCGCTCCACCAATGGAGTACGATCAAAATGCACGAGCACCCCATCACAACGGCGGCACGGGGCGAAAGACGTTCAAGCAGGGGACGTTGCCCCCAGTCGAGGACCAGGTCACCGACGCCCTCTCAGTCACTGACCCACTGACTCACTGGCTCACTGACCCCGGATGCCGTTACTTACACACACAGTCAGACGATCAGAAAAGCGTTGTGAACAACAGTTACGCGAATCAGCAGCAGCAATTACTAAGCCAAGTGCAACATAAAGTAGGTACGTATGCGTAACTAAAACATTACACTAGACCAGCATCAAGTGCAACAACTTTATCTACCTCTACAAATGCTTTAACAACATTAACACAGAAAGGTGCTTCAACTATTATCGTTGAGAACATTAACAAAACAACAACAACTTGAAGAAGTGCTGTGATTACAGTGCCTCACTCTCATTTTGGCAGAGCTTTCATGGAACTGGCACATCGGATAACGTCGCATCTGGGGTGCCTTGATCATCCTTGGACGCGGACCGGATCGAACTTGAGCGGGGCATGCTTGCATTTAGTTTGGAATTTGGTCTTTGAGCCGAGGCAATCCCTTTTCCGAACCCAGCCTCTCCCTCGAAAATGGCAAGAGTAAGAGAGAGTAGAGAGAGTAGAGAGAGTAAGAGAGAGTAGAGAGAGTAGAGAGAGTAGAGAGAGTAGAGAGAGTAGAGAGAGTAGAGAGAGTAGAGAGAGTAGAGAGAGTAGAGAGAGAGATGAATTGGAGAGTAGGATAGAGCGAGTCGAGAGAAAGAGAGAAATAAAGAGCAAAGACACAAAGGAAAAGCACAACTACCACATGTAACAACAGGAAACAAAAGGAACAAAAGGAACAAACACCACTGAAAAACAACAACCAACGACAACACTGAAAAACAACAACCAACCCACCGAGAGAGAGTAGAGAGTAACAACAATAGAGCTGTTTGGCAGACCACCTCCGAATCACAACGGTTTGAAACCGTCCATCGCCTTTGTGTGTGTGTGTGTGTGTGTGTGTGTGTGTGTGTGTGTGTGTGTGTGTGTATTTCTGGCATTTTTCTCTTCTTGGTCTCGAGGTCATCCAAGCACAGGCTGCCTTGCCGTCTGGTTGAAGTCGCTGCCTGCCTGATTCTTTGTCAATTAGATCCATACAAACCGGAAAAAATGGAAAAGACGGTCGAGGTCGAGACTGCCTCCAGTGGCCAATCAGATGGCATCAAGCTGTACTGGTGCCCAAAGACGCGCGCCGTGCGCATGGCCTGGATGCTGGAGGAGCTGGGCCAGCCGTATGAGCGCATTAAGATTGACATCCGCGACGAGACCAGTCAGAGCCGCAACGACCGAGCCTTTCGGGAGGCCTCACCCATGGGCAAGGTGCCGGCGCTGCGGCACGGTCCCATCAAGCTGTGGGACTCGGGTGCCATGTGCTTGTATCTGGCAGACGCCTTTCCCGAGGCCGGCTTGGCCGTGGCTCCCTCCGATCCGCGCCGTGGCCAGTATTTGCAGTGGACCTTGTTCACCAATTCCGTGCTCGAGCCCGCCATGACGGAGCGGATCGCGGGCATGGAGCCACACCCTTCGAGCCACGGTCACGGCAGCTTTGATCAAATGATCACCACCCTTGAGCAGGCTTTGCAGCAGGGTCCTTGGCTCTTGGGTGAGCAGTTCACATCTGCCGATGTCCTGGTCGGCACGGGCATCTCCTTTATGATCCAATTTGGCGTTCTCAAGGAGCCTTCCACTGTTCTGACCGACTATGTGGCGCGTTGTTCAGCCCGCCCTGCCTGCCAACGTGCCCATGCCTTTGAGTCGGAGTGATCAGGATGACTCGGGCACGTCTTTGTTCGTTCATCACTGCTCGCCACTTTTTGCTGATGCTGTCTAGCTCTACTTGCTGGGGACTGACCCCCCCAAAAGAAAAGAAAAGAAAAAAAAAGCCTAGATAAATAAACCAGGTGAAAGCCTTTGGTAGATTCTGTGTGCGAGTTTGAGTCTGGTTCCGAGTGAATGCCTGCCCTGCTTCAATTGCTATTGCAAACCTCAATCTTCTTCTCTTCAGATGCATGGGAGGGTCTCAACCAACCCGACATGCCATCACCATCTCCCTGACCCCCTCATCAATCACACCGCTCCATCAAAACACAATGATGGCACGACCGAGTGGCCCCACCGGCACGAGTGGCACCGTGACCAGTCACCCTAACCCTTTTTCCCCAGCTCAAGCATCAAGCACGACCACCACTTCTGCCCCAACAGCCCATGCAGCTTGTGGTAGCTTTCCGTACAATTACGTTGTGGTTTATGCCTTAAGGTTCGTTTGGTTAAGCATCCACCAGGCAGTTTTAGTTGGTTTTCTAGTATTACGACATCGACGCACACCGTTTCAGTGTGTGTGTGTGAGTGTCCTTGTATGGCAGCTGGGGGAGGGCAGTCAAGCACGGGGCTTGGGGCAGTGTGTGTGTGTGTGTGTGTGTGTGTGTGTGTGTGTGTGTGTGTGTGTGGTCGGGTGCTAAAGGGTGCGGGGTCTGATTGTGGTGTCATCGGCTACAACAACTGCCAGTTTGCGGACAGGCCCCACTGCCATGTTGGCTTGGCGCGCAACGATGGCTCCGACATGGGTCTGGCTTCTGCTCTTCACGGCCGGTACGATCAGAAAGGCCACGCGGTTGCTGCTCGCACCGGCTGCTGTCCCTTGATCATGGCATGCACCTACTGATGCCTTCTTCCCTTGGGCTAGGCGGAGCTCAAGCCTGGGGACCCATTGGCCATCAAACCACGGCCGCTATCGCTGAAACCTTGCTGACGGAAAAGGCTGCAACGACGGTATATCCAATCATCTCTGCCAGCAGAACCGCCCGTTCATGCTTGCCTTCACGCCCGTCTTACTCCTTCCTCCCTCTCCGGTGAACCGTGTACGTGTCCTTGATGTGCGCTGAGCCAGGTAGCCCAGATTCTCGACAACGCCTCCATGGTCAGCGTCTCGACTTGGGCCGACGATGTGCGCAGCACCTCAGCCTGGGCCTGGTCTGCACCCTTGGTGAGCCAGCATCTCGACACATGATCCTCCAGCTTCCTCCTTCCCTCAAGGGCACCGTCATCCCGGTCCCTCACTCACGTTTCTCAACGCGCCTTTCGGTTCCTGGCCCAGCACTTCATTGACACCCCAGATCGAGTGTGCAGCTTTGACTACTCGCGAGATTGCCAAAACGATGGACGCCCTGACTTTTGCGTTGCCGGTGCCATTGTCAACTACACCCGTCAACTTGAGCTGGGTGGGTCTTCATCCCGTCTCTTTGATGCCATTGCCGCCCTCCTCCGCTCACTTCAGCTGCGGCTTGTTTACCGATTCACAGCCGTGGCCCAAGGTCGCCTGCAGGACGAGACCACTCAAGAGGCCCTCAAGTTTGTCATTCACTTTCTTGGAGATATCCATCAGCCTTTGCACGTCAGCTTTACCAGCGACGAGGTAGGCCCTTTCCTGCATCTTCGCGTCCCTCCCGAACCCTCGCGTTCCACTGACGCTTGCCCCATCATGCCATGGCCGGCCCTCTATCAGGGCGGCAATTTGGTCAATGTGACCTTTTTCGGAGAACCTGAGAATCTACATGTTCGTTAACCTTGCACTGTGACACCATCACTATTCCTCCTCGCTCTTGTCACCGAAAATTCACTGGGCATCACGCTCATCATCCGCACCCGCGGTTGTCAGGCGGTCTGGGATTTTTTTATTATCCGTGACATGCTGCTCGAGCGCTACCACAACGACTCGGGTCTGTGGGCCAAAGATCTTGCGGTGCGTGAATCAAGCCTGCTAAAGCTCAATGGTGCTTTTGTCTGCAAGCTCATCCCGACGCTTTCTCATCAACAAAAAACCAAAAAAAATCACAGGCGCGCGTGCACCAAGATGGTCAATGGGCACAAGATGCGCAGATCTGGGGATCGGTATGTTCAAGATGCAGTGCAGCACAACCTCGTTCTCCATCTATGGCAGCGCACTCACGTGCTCACCCCTCGGCCTCAATGTTGGCCTCTCGATACAGTGCAACGATGGCACAAGCACCGACTGTACTTCAGCTTTTGCCAAGGAAGGCATAGCTTACGCCTGTGCAGTCGCATATGAGTGTACCCCGGGCCCACAGTCGGCCTGTGCCACTGAACGTACGCCTGCTGCCGCTGCCCTTTTCTGCATGGCTGGAAGTTGCAGGACTTGAACAGATCCAACTCATCATTTTGGCGTTGTGTGTGTGTGCGTTCCCGCGCCGCGCAGGGGTGTTAGTCAACCCAGACCTGGGCACTGACTACTACAATGCCACGGCACCAGTTGTAGACCTCCGAATTGCGCAGGGTGGCGTTCGCCTGGCTGCTGTTCTAAATCGCCTGTTGGGTTGAACCCAACCAGAGCAGACAATCACGCAGGGAGCTTCCAGACCCACATGACAACTCGTCATTGACGCACACCTGAAGCTCGATGCACCCCCTTGAACATGCAAAGCATCCTTGTACCAACAGCATCGCAGCAATGGTCTGTGTGTGTGTGTGTGTGTGTGTGTGTACTTGCATCCGTGTGTATATTTTGACAAATTCATTGCCAAGTCACAGCGTGATCGAGTTGGTTTTAGCGTCGATTCAAAGGCTCTAGTAGCCTGCAAGGAAACAAAACAAAAAGCATTCTGGTGCCACAAGAGGCAGTTGGTGCGTGGACTAAAGTCACTCGCACATGCTACAGTCCCAAGAGCGTTGCGTCTACTTTGAGATTTGACATACGGACACACCGTCGGTGGCCACCTTGTTGTCATAGCTAGTGCCCGGCCAGCATGTATTGGCGGGAGAGCCACTATGGCGCCAGATGGCAAAAGCACAGTCCTGCGGGTGCGGGTAGAGTATCGGCCAAAAAAAAACAAAGATGTCAACATGGCGTTGGCCTGCCAGTGCTCTCGCAAGCACGTCTGACGTCTTGATGATAAAACACAGGTTCTTCACTTACATCAAAGCCGGCGCAGATGTCACAGCACTCCTGCTGGGAGCTGGCTGGGTAGGAATACGGTTTATGGTCGTAGTCATAGCCTTCCACATAGGTACAGCTGTTCAGGGTTGCCGCACAAGGAACACGTGAGCATGCACGGGCTGCGGAAACATGCCGCTGCGCGATTAGCTTGAAGTTTAAGCCCGGGCAGGCCTTACTTGGCGGGTGTGGGCGTGGGCGTGGGCGGAAGATTGGAGCGGATGGCACCATCCCGGTCCAGCTCCGCTGCCACGTTCGTCATGTTAACATCATGAACCGCCACACCGGCTTGCACAGCGTGCGTGGCAATGACACCAGCAGCATGTCCCATGATCATGTACTGCGGCTCCAGGCGAAGCGTAGCATAGCCCTACACGGATCCGAGCACATGAGCATGGGGGCCACAGTATGCGAGAGCATGGCCTTGAGACCACGTCAGAGCACGCCAAACTGACAACGTGTGATGCTGAAACGCAAACGGGGACAAGAAGATTGGTCAGCTCGGCTTTCTTTGGCAAGATCACTGAGACCGGGATCTGGTACTCATGCCCTACAACCGAAGGTCACCAAGGTTTTGTGAGCGCACGAACAGCAAACATTGAAAGGAGAAGCTTTTGCGGCGGGCACAAGCAAAAGTCGAACCAGGGTGAGTTTCCACGTCGCCTTCGTTGAACACGTAAGGGATCTGAAACTTGGTGCAGACAGCCGGGTCGTCACAAACGTAGCTACTCGCACACAACACACGGGTGAGGTACCTGTCCCAATTTCTGGCCGTGAAAGCCAGTTTGGTGCCGTGATCGTACCGGACGGCGTTATGTGTATCAAAGTTGTCTGTGGAATAAGGTGTGAGAACAGCATCAACGAATAAGAGAATGCGCAGCACGCGGGGTGGGGACGTACGAGACAGAGCAAGCAAGCGAGTACATCAACAATCATGGTACTGACAGCTGCCCATGCCGATAGAGAGGCTGCCAAGGCCACTGCCCGTATTGTCCATGACTGTGTTTTGGGTGAAGACCTCGTCGCCAATGAGGCGACGCGCCTCGCGCACATATAGCTGCCAGGGCCAGTGGCCCGTTTCCACAAACTCATCCTTGCAGTAGCCCCACTGTTGCATGGCTTTGCGTGAATCTTCTGGCAGGCTCTCATCCGTGGAAAGGAACCAGAAGAGCCCTTGCATGTAGTCCTTGTGCCTTTTCCAGATTTGCATACTATGGCGCCCAGGTAGATTTCAAAAGCCCCGGTTGAGATAGAACAAAGTCAGTATGGTAAACCCTTGGATCAAGCGCAGAAACCACCCCATTGTCTTTACGAACCGTGTGCTGTAGTTTGCCTCGGGGTACTCGTCGGCGCCACCAATCAAGTCGGTGGACACCGGTCCACAGTTCTGGCGTCGGAGAAGCGTGCAAAAAGTAAAGTCAGACGATGAATATGTTCGGCGGTACCGATGAGGCCACAAGTGGATCTTGCAATGTGCCTCTACTTACATTCATGTCATACTTGTCGTTGGGCACCTGTGAAATTGCACCACGCCAAAATGCATCAAGGTCCGTGAACAGAAGCGTCCACAGAGTACGCAACAAAATGGGCAAAGGTCAGGGGCGTGCCAGTGCGTGGTTTGGGGCGCCACCTAACCTTGCCAGTATTGCAGCTGGGAATCGATGGCTTCGACCCATTGTAAAAACTGAGATTTTCCCCACATGCCAACATGGGCCCAAGGCATGAGGCGAGCAGGGTTGATCAAGACGAACAACGCGAGGGCAAGAAATGAAAAAGGAATGACAGCAGTAGTACTGACCGGCGTGCCAGTTCCCAGGTCTTTGGGTCATAGCCCTCCGGTTCGGTAAAGGGAACAAGGTTGCTCGTGTTCTTGGTCACGCAAAGGCGGAAGTTGTAGGACTGAACATGCTTGTCCTCAGCGTAGGGGATGCCTAGAATCCAGTCATCAAGGAGCACACAAAAAATGAGATCATCTGAAGGACCACTTCACGGGCAGCACATGCTTCACTGGAGCACACTGGAGCGCAGTGGCACAAGCACGGCCTGGGATATGATCGTACCGGGCCCATCGGTGGACACCCAAGCGATAAGATTGCCGTTCTCGTCGTAAGGATCCACGCGCGTCTGGTTTGCAATTGGCGAATGTGGAACCGTCAGTGGAGTGGGCCACTTTTGCTCTCCTCAACGATCCAACACAGGCGCGCAGATCGACAAGGTGGGTGGCTTGTACCTCAAATTCGTGATTGGCATCAAAGGGATAATTACCACCCAATGATTCGTTGTAACGAGCACGGCCTTCCTGCGCACAGTGCGTGGCACACAAGCCCAGCGATGAGGCAAGGCAAGACGCGACCTCAAATTGGAATGTTTCAAGCAAGCGCGTCAAATTTGGCTGAGGACGACGCCGGTCCTGGCGCTGTCCGGCGACAGTTCAACTCACGCGGCCGACAAAGTAGGAGGCACCGGCACGGGCGAGCAGATCGCCTTCATAGCTAGCGTCGACAAAGACCTTGGCGTTGAAAGTGTCGCCCATCAAGGTGGTGAAGGACGTGATCTTGGTGCCATCCGTCTCAGCCGTGTCCACCTAACCGCACAGAGATGGGATCACACTTCTGAGAAACACAAAGGCATCATACAAAGGAAAAAAATAAATAAAAACAAAACAAACAGGGATGCCGCAAACCGTGGGGAACGGTCAACGCACGGTCTGGTTGCGGAACAAGTCCACGTTGGCCTCTTGCATCATCTCCATGAAGATGTCACGGGCCACGTGAGGCTCCAGGGTGTACTCGGGCCCACCCTCGCCGTAGACCTTGCCGTTGCGGGCGAAAAACTCGTGTGCATAACCGCCGATAACATCGGTGTTGCCTGCACCATTGCAAGATTCCAGTGATCAAGGCAGGGTGTTGACAATGAGCACAACGTTCAAGGGTCACGGGAAACCGGTGAAGCGTCGCATCGCGGTCGGTCCATCGTACCGGTGTCCGTCTTGCCGAGACCGCCCGCACACATTCCACCGATAAAGGGCCAGGCGGCCACCACAGCCACCGTCATGTTGCGCCGGCCCGCTATCGAGGCGCACACGCATGAAAAGAAAGCCATGCAGGATGAGAGATCAGGGTGAAGCGCAACGTGAGCGTTGGGTGAGCCTGCAGGCGATCCTGCTGTTCCAGCTCCGATCGCTGCCAGAGTGCGGCGCGGAACGCACCAGCCACCGCGGCCATGATACCGCCTGGAGTACTTTCGTAGACGACGACATCGTAGTTGTATGTGGTCGCCTGCACTGCATGAGAAATCGCCAGGAGGGCCAGGGCAACAGCCCAGGCACCGATCCGCACTCTGCCAGTGGCTGCCATATCGTCAATGGATCCAATCAAAAACAATTTGGCCCTTGTGCAAATGACATTGGAAAAGCATCACAAACTCATTTACTTGCTGCATTAACTAACACAGTTAATGTATTCAGATCGACGATATCTTCTTGAATAGGTACATAAACGCTCATTTGAAGAATTCTTAACCGCGAATCAAAACACATGTTTTTGTTGACGATCAGTTGATGTTGGAGTTATCGGACTTTATGAAGATTAGAATCAAATTTAATAATAAATAAACTTGGTCGATGGTAGACCTTTTTGCAGGTTAATATAGAGTTGTGTGCATGATGGTGTTTTCGTTATTTTTGTTGTTGTTGTTTAGAGAGAGAGAGAGAGAGCGAGAGAGGTAGAGAGCGAGAGCCAGGGTGTGTAAAGTCGAGAGAGCGAGGGCGCGAGAAGAAGAGAAGGTGGGATGGGGAACGGTGGAGCACACGAGGATCGTGGGGTCATTGCTGCAGTTGGGTCGCTGTGTCGTGGTGTTGGTACACAGTTTGGGTAGCGGTACGTGAATCGATTAGTTGGCTCAAGATGCAAGCACAAGGCGTAATCTTTCTCTATGGGTCGTGTTTTGGTCTGCTCTCGCAGCCCCGACTGTCCCAGGGTGGTAGTGTAGGCACCTAAAAGGCCGGCATGGCACCGAGAACGAGGGGCGAGGCGGTCTGAAGCTTGACCTTGCCACGCTTCATGCCCGTGTTGGGTCGCATGCTGTTTCCATCGAGCTTGCCCAACGGGGTGCGCAGGGGTGCGGCTCCTGTCGGTCCAGCTCGCGGCCGTGCCGGGGTTGCTGCCACATTGAGTGACTCCATCGTGACGCCTTGCTGGAGCTGGCGGAAAATACGACGCGACAAGCGCCCAGGGGAACATTGCACGTCCAGCTGGCGCACCTGGCTGAGGAGCTGCATGAGTTGCGCTTGGGTCACGGTGGCTGTGGATTCACCGTCCAACTCCGCGTAGGGCACGGCCCCACCCAGACGGCTGTGGCTCCTATCACGGCGCGGCGTTTGCAGCGCCGGTCCAGCGGCGGTGCCAGGATGCAAAAACGGATGGGCCAGCAATTGTTCGATCGTTGGTCGCTTCTTAGGGTTGCGCTGTAAACAGGCTTGCAGCGCGGCCAAGAGGTCTCGGTTGGCCAGGGGCTCAAACTCAATCGCGTGCTTGGCGTCGGGAATGCGCTGCAGCTTTTGCAGCACTGGCATGTGCTGAAACGGCGTCTTGCCATAGACCATCAGGTAAAGAATGCACCCGAGGGACCAGACGTCGCTGGCTGGACCAACCTTGAGACAAGCGCCATCGCCCATGGTCCCAGCAATGGCCTCGGGGGACATGTAGTTGACCGTGCCAATCTGCGCATCACGCATCACGCTGGTATGGTCCTCCTGAATGCCTGTGGCAATACCAAAGTCAATCAGCTTGAGTGCGCCTTTGACGCAGAGGAAGTTGGCCGGCTTAAGATCGCTATGCACAATCTGTTGCCTGTGCACAGCCCCCACGGCCTCGAGCATTTGTTGAAAATACAGGCGAATGTGATTTTCGTCGATCACGGGCAACTCTGCGCCACGGCTCGAGGCCCGTGCAGCGCGTTGCGTCTGCAGCATCCTCGCGAGGTCAACGTCTCCACACTCCATCACGATGCGCAGCACCTTGGCCACCTCGTCGTGCTCCCAATCGACGAGGCAGATAATGTTGGGCTCACCCTGCAGTCGCTCGAGCAAGTGAATCTCATTCTTGAAGCTGGCCACGGTGGCCGCGTCCACGTCGCGCAAATCGACCTCCTTGAGCGCCAGCATGGCGTGCTCAGCATCGAGTACGCGATAGACGCGCGAGGAGCCACCTTTACCAAGTTGCTCCAACTTAATGTATGGGCGCTGAGCCACCGATACGGTTTCCATGTTGCGCACAAACTCATCGGAGACGGGTTGATGACGCATGGACGCGGGCGCCGCTGAGGGCGTGGCGGCGGCAGAGGCCATGCGACGCGCCACGGGCGGGGCGGCTTCAACAGTGGATGGGGCAGGAAGCGCGGTTTGGTGGCGAGACTTGGGCCGTGGCACGCCCATGGGGGTGGCGATGGGCAGTTCATCGCGAGCTTGCACCTCATGAACTCGCGACTTGAGCGAGAACTTGACTGTGTCACCCGTTGGTCCAGGGGCAGCGGTTGTGGGCCCGTGCGCCTGCCCCTTCCCCGGGCTTGAAACAGCGGTGGCTTGTTTGGAAGTGGATGCCATGGGTAGCGGTGGTGGGAGTGGGTCTTCGTCAACATCGGGTCGAACCGTCAGCGTAGCATGCTGACGTTTGGGCGCGCCGGCAGCAGCGCTGTGAGGTGCCGGCGCGGGCATGGGTGCTTCCAGCGGGGCCCGTGGGGAAGAGTGTGGCCTGTCCACGGGGGCATCGCAGTGTTGCAAGCCCGAGGGGCGATTGGCTCCGGTGCGACGTTCTGGGTCCCGCGCATGCCGACCGGGCTGGATGTCAGAAAAGCTGTTGTCACTACCAGAACCATTGTTGGTGGCGTCATCAGCACTGCCTACGGACGAGATGCTGAGGCGACTGCCATTGCTACCGAGACTTGAGGTGGTGAGGTGAGGTAGATTGCTGTCGCTGGACAGGTTTGCCGCCGAGGTGTTGGCGCTCAAGGCCTGAGCCAGTCGCGCTTTCACGGGATCCACGCTGGGTAGTCCCAGGTCATCGTTCATAAGGGCTTCGCTTTCTTTCGAGCTGCGACTGTGGTTGTGTGGGCGAGCTTGTTCTTTGGCGTTGGCTTTATCCTCGTCGTCGTCTTCCTCCTCCACAATGGAGGTGCTGAGCGGGACCCGCTGGGGTGGACCTACGTGTGATAATACAGGAGTGCAAGGCAGATGCAGAATACGGCCACGTGAGTAAGGATGACGTCCCAACTGCAGAGTCGCGGGAGTCGAAACGGGCAACTGTCACAAACGCACCAAATGCAGCAGCACGGCTGGCTGCTTGGCGGCGAGTGGCTTGCCGGGTAGGGGCGGGCCGCTTCATGGGTGTGGGGTCTGCGGTGCAGCAGGGAACCCCATGAGAAAGCGCTACAAGGTCAGATGCTGGCTCGCTCTGATCTCAAACTGGGGAGGTGACAAAGTCAAGCAGTTGTGGGTCCTCACCGGTGGATTGGTCGTTGTTGTAGCGTTTGGAGCGCCCTCCGCAACGAATGCAGGAGGTTGGGGTCTCCAGCAAGCATTTGAATCGGGATTCGCGGGCCACAATTTCGCTGGAGGGTTTTCGAGCGGTGCGCCCCTTGCGCAGAATTTCGAGCGACCGGCCCGTATGGCCTGTCATACGGCGTTGATACGGAAAGCACAGCACGAGTTTATCAAATGGCGCGCGTTCAGGGGGCAAGGCGCACGGGGGTGGGGTAGGGCGGAATTTGGCACACAAACCTTGGCTTTCTTCAAATTCTGCCCAAATGGTGTGAAAATGCCGGAAGCCACGACCAATGCTATCTTGCTGCATTTGCTGGAAAGTGAAGCCAGCCTCTTCAGCGTCACCGCAGGCCATGGCCAGGCGCGCATATTCGAGCCAGAGTTGAACGTAGAGTTCTTGGTCGCGGTAGCGCTCTTGATCGATGCGTTCAATTCCTGTCTTGTAGAAACGCAGAAGATGTTGGCAGGGGCCCTTGAGACTGTCGAGCTGAAGGTTCAAGAAAGACCACCAGCCCTCAAGGGGATTGCCGTCCGTTTGCAGTTCTGTCATGCGCTGAGACGCCGACTTGATTCGAAGTGCACTGCCTAGACCTGCGCGAGGTCGCGCCGGGCGCTACCAAATCAACCAACGTGTCATGAGCCAAAGCATCAGAAGCGTGACCGCAAACGGCTCCCATCTTGTACCTCGCTCGCTGAGAGGCTTTGGGGGACCATCATCAGAGACCAAGTGCCTCGCCAAGCAGGGGGTGGGGTGGGGCGCATTGCTTACAGTCGCTGTGGCAGGTGTGCAGGCTGGTCGAGGGAGCTCGGGTTGGGACGCCTCGGCGGAGGGTGCAGGGGTGTCTTGCTGTGGGTGCGCAAGGGCAGGATTGTGCATGAGATACACACCAGGTTGGGAATGGCAGCCTGATCGTTTTTGGCAGAATATCGTACCTCGAACGACTCCAGGGTCGCCTCAATGGTGGCCTGGAGGGCGCGCATGGTCGCCGCGCGCGACTCCATCCTGCTTCGTGGGTTGGGCCGTTTTCCGTCTTGTTCAAAGAGAGGAAAAAACAGGCTCACTTCAGAGTAGACAGGCGACGAGAGGGGGCTACGTTGCGCTGACACCAAGCATCAGCGGCGCTGGCCAGTCGCGGCTGACCAACAGACACAGAGGGCGCGTGGGGCGTGTGTGCGGCAAGTAAATAATCAGAAAACGTCAAATCAAAATTTCCCGCACAAAATACTTGTATGGAGTCACAGTGTATTTTCATATCCAAAACGATAGCTATTTTAGCAATTTGCGGGCCACAGAAGTGGGTATAGTGGTGTACAACTGCTATTGTGAACAACGAGTCTTGTCAGTTGTCAGACAGACAGTTGGTAATAAAATGCGCCCTCCGCCCACTTTTAAAGCGACGTTAGGTGGGTACTGTCTCTGTCTCCGCCCGGTCATCCAGTCGAATCTCCGGACATCTCTTATTTCCCGCTCCATCTCTTCTTGTACCTTTGTTTGCCCGTTATCAAAACTCCTTCAACCTTTCTAACCTCTATATTGCTCCCTTGCCTGATCATACCTCTTTCCAGTACCACCACATCCAACCACACCTCTTACCAACTGTTTTGATTCCTGACTCTCTCTCTCTCTCTTCTCTCTTCTGACGGTCTCGCTCTCTTCTCTCTCTCTCTCTCTCTCTCTCTCTCTCTCTCTCTTTCGCGCGCGCTCTGTGTGTGTGTCGCTGTCTCCGCCGACTCCAGATCCAGACCGGACCGGACCGGACCGGACCCAACGTCGATTCAACCTTCAAACATGGCGCTGGTATGTCTCCAGCAGGATGATGGTCCTGACTGCACAATGTCTTGTCTCTCTCTTCGTTTGTGTGTGGGTTTTGGTGTGTGTGTGTGGCTGCATACCAGAGGTTGGCAGGGCTCTGCTGGTCAGGGGCAGAGCGAGCACTTGATGCTTGGGCGGGCTGACCTTTCCGGTCGTCATGGCGCTCCCGGTTGAGCTGGCCTTTGGTTCTCTGGTTTGACTCTGTCAGAGTTGGCCCTGCCCAAAGCATTGGCAGTGCTAATGTTGTGGCTACAATGGAGTGGGACCATGCACGGGCCTGAAGGAAGGGAGGAATGTGCTTTCACTGTGCAGTCGCTGTTGGGCAATGATCATCTTCACTTTGGATCAAGACTGTTGTCCCGCGCCTTGTCTGCTCCGTCTTGTTGACTCCATGGCGCATGCATTTGGAGACATGCTCCTCTTTCCTCTTTTTTCGCCGCTTCCTCACGCTTGTCTTCTGCCTGCTGTGCAACTTGCAGGCGGGTGTGTCGGACCCTGAGCAGCTCTTTCAAAAGTTGGAGCGCGTCGGTAAAGGTTCTTTCGGCGAGGTCTTCAAGGGGTACGCCTTTTTCACGGCATCCTGCTGATGCACCGCCAGTTGCCAGCTTCCCCTCCGTTTTCCATCCCAGGGTCACTCTTATGTTTTGGGTCCGCGCATTCTGTTCCATCCCGTCCCACATTTTCATGGTAGCATTGACAACCGAACCAAGGATGTTGTTGCCATCAAGCTCATCGATCTTGAGAATGCCGAGGATGAGATTGAAGATATCCAGCAGGAAATGACCGTCCTTGCTACGGTATGCCGCATTTCTCAGGCCCCCTTTGGCATCGATAGTCGGCGTTGGCCTTGCCCATTAGCCGAAGCTTCCCAATTTCGTTTTAATCCACCTTCTCTGACCGATATAAATCATGCCCGTGTGTATATGTGTGTGTGTGCGTGTGCCCTCTTTGCAGTGTGACAGCCCCTATGTGACGCGATACTATGGGTCCTACCTCAAGGGCCCCACACTCTGGATCATTCAAGAGTTCCTTGGTGGCGGCTCTGCCTTGGACCTCATGAAGCCTGGACCTTTTGATGAAAACGCCATTGCCATCATCCTTCGCGAAGTGCTCAAGGGCCTTGAATACCTGCACGAGTCGGGCAAGATTCATCGCGATATCAAGGCTGCCAACGTTCTCCTGGCAGAAAACGGTGACGTCAAGCTGGCTGACTTTGGTGTCGCCGGCCAGATCTCGGACACCATGACAAAGCGCTCCACGTTTGTCGGCACTCCCTTTTGGATGGCCCCCGAGGTCATCAAGCAAACCCCTTACGGCATTTCGGTGCGACGCCCCGGCTTTGGCTGTTTCCCTTGCACGCCGCCCATCAGCTGGGAGGCCCAACCGGGTGTGGCCCGCCCCCTTTTTCTCTCACCTCTGCTCACTCCCTCACCTTTTTCGCGCAGGCGGACGTGTGGTCCTTTGGCATCACCGCCATTGAGCTGGCCAAGGGCGAGCCGCCAAACTCAGAGCTCCACCCCATGCGCGTGCTCTTCCTCATCCCCAAGAACCCGCCTCCGTCCTTGGAGGGTAACTTTACCAAACCTTTCAAGGACATGATTGCCAGCTGCCTGCAAAAGGAACCCGCAGACCGCCCCACCGTTTCGGATCTCCTTAAGCACAAGTTTATTACCAAAGCCAAAAAGACCAGCGCCCTGGTTGATTGGATCACTCGCTATCGCAAGTGGAGGGAAAAGAAGGCTGCTGGCAACGATGATGATTCTAGCGATGACTCAAGTGACGATGAAGCGTACGTGCCAGCACTGCTTGCCCCCTCGCATGCTGGCCTGGCACTCTTGCCTCCGGCTCCAACCAACTTATGCATGTGACGCCTTGTCTACTTAGGCCCATGCCCGCGGCAGAGGCACCCAGCTGGGCTTTTGATACCGTCAAGGGCCCCATCGTGTCCTCGGGACTCAAAAAGGGTGCCGGCGGCCAGGAGAAGAAAGCGCCACTGGAGGGCGTCATTATGCCAGCTCTGGATCATGTCAAATCCACCATCCAAAGCAGTGATGCCCCCTTCCATGATGCCAGTTTCAACGAGCTGGTGCAGGCTTTCAAGTTGGCTGAGGTTTGTAAACGCTTCCCGTCCAATGCACAGCCAATGCCAGCGCCACTAAAACATTCACGCGCCCCTTTTTTTGGCCTGCGGTTTGCCCATGCTTTCATCAAATGTTTGGAATAGGAGGCACAGGAAGGCCTGGCAGAAAAGTTTGTCGATCAAATCTGTCAGACTATGGCCGCGTACGTATTGCCGTGGTGTCTGGTTCAAGACCCAGCACTTCTCGGTGCTCCCCTGACGCAATTAAACAGGCCTCGCGTGTCTCCCCGAGGAGGTGCTGGCAAACTTTTATGAGCATCCTCATTCAAAACTCGATTGGCTCGCTCAATAGGTTATCGTAAGGCTCATTCACTTCAAGATTGAAACAGCGTCAAGACGCCATCGGAAATATCATCATTCCCTTTGAGCCTACAGGCAATAAAAAAAAAGTCGCAAAGAAGCAATACCATGAAAAGCACATCAAGACGCAAGGACATGTTAGAGGCTTCTCAAATGGAAGCAATCCCACTTTTGTACATGTTTGGCACCCGTGCCTATTTCCGTGTTCTTTGCTGAGAGACTGCAAAGCGTCTATTTGTTTTTCAGCCCCCCCCCCCCTCCCCTTTCTTAACCACTTGCCTTGTCCTGTGCGAGGCAAAGACAAAAATCTACACGTTCCCTCATGCACAAAGATCGTTCAACCCTCTGTTTGACACATGCCACACACGTACAGAATCTTGAGTCCATTGTTGGACTTGTTGAGCTCAGCAAAGCTCTGGGCTCCCGAATCTCCGATACCATTGTACATGAGGTTCAGCACGCGCATGTTGGCGTGGTCTGCGAGTGCTTTAGCCAGAATTTGCGCCCCATCGGAACCCAAGTCGTTGTTGTCCAGGCTAGAAAATGAAATCAGTCCAAAACATTGGCGCATCGTGTCAGAGGTGAGACCGAGCGCACACATGAGCAAATGGGCCAAGGCCAAACGTCCATGGTACAAATGACAACAAACATACTTGAGAGTCTCCAGCTGAGGCTGGGTGGCCAGCAACTCGGCAAGGTGATGGGCTCCTGCCTCCGTCAACTCATTGGACCGCAGGCTGCACCGAGGGATAAAGAAAATGAGTACGGGCAGGACCGAGTTTCAAGACCAACCACAACGCCATTGGCTAAGAGCGAGCTCACTTTAGCTCGGTGAGTTTGGTGGTACGGCCCTTCAGCGTGGCACACAAAGTCTCTAATCCCTCGTCCCCAAGCCCACAGTTGCTCAAGCTATGACAAGACAGATAACTCCTTTCAGGTGAAGGCACGCCAAAGAGCACGAGGCGACTGGTATCCGAGCATCGAAAACACCGAGCATGATACAAACCCTAAGATGCGAATCTGCGGCGGCAGCTCGGCCAGCATTCCGGCCACGGCGGCAGCATTCAGCGTGTTATCACCCAGACTAACAAGACGGACAAATGGCCAGCAGGTTGGAGGTGAGTTTCCAAAAGCTTAGAAGAAGCATACTTGTTAACGGCCAGGCCATGAAATGCAGGCTGACACCAACTTGAGACTCCAGACAAGATTTGCAACTCGAAGAAGTGAGGCCACCTCCTCATAGCTCTCCTCTGTCAGGCGGAGGTGTTCTAGGCTGCATTCAAAAAGAAGCTTTAGGTTTGCAAGCGACACGATTCGTAGGCAGTGACCGTAGACAGCCTAGCCAGGAGGTCCCTACCTCAGTTCTTGGCCCGGAAGAACCCCCTCAACATATTGCTTGTTCTTGAGAAGATTCTGTGCAGCGGTCCAATTCCCTAGCTCCAGCAACGTCTCCAATGGTTGTTCTTCTTGTAGCCTGCAACAGCAGTGCATCCGAAAACATGAGGAGGGTGGCCATGCAAACGTTTGCATTGTGTTTTGCAGTGAGGTGGCTGTACAGCACGCAGAGATGGTTTTGGCCGTGTCATGTACCGTGTGGTGGCGGCGTCACGCGAGGCATCGTCGGCTTCTTGCCAAGTCTTGATCCAGAGAGCTGCCAGTCTTTGAGCATATTGCGAGCGAATCTCCGAGGACACGAGCAAGTTCAGAAGCTGTTGACAGGTGGCAGAGTGTCAAAGAAGAGAAGACGCGTACGGAAGTTATGATGAGCTTCACAGGCTAGTGGCCAACAAACACATGGTGATATGCCCAGGGCCGAGGCAACAAATTATTCTAACCACGCGCAACTCGCGACGGGCGAGCATGTAGCGGCCGCAGATGCGCTGCGTCAAAGGGTGGAGGGCCAGACGAAGAATGGATTCAGCTTCGGCCTGATGGTGATTGACGTCGACATCAGCAAAAGGGGTTAGCCGCTGTTGCCGACGGTTGTGGTGAACATGTCAGCCACTTGCAAGAGCTTACCGCTACGCCGTCCGATTGCAACAATTGCATGAGTTCATCATCACCCAGACCCGCGTTGGCTTGGTCGATGGCTACCAGCACGTGAGCCAAAGGAGGAACGCTTGATGTGGTTCTTGTCTAAAGCCGGGAGTGGCCATGGATGTGCAGGTACAACCATGATGAACAACCGCAGAGTTGAGGTCAGCCAAGCGTCTTGCGGCATGGCCACTGACCTTCCAAAACCCATCGGCCAAGGCCAGTGCCAAAGCATAGCTCTCGCCAAGATTCGTACAAGCAGGAAGGTGTTCAGTCAGTGCCTGATCAGACGCACCAAAAATGTTCAAGGCGGCAGGGTCAGAGTGATGGCTAATGAGTGTTGCGGGCAGAGCTAGAAACCAATATTTGAGCCAGATTTGGCCGACATTGACTTACCTCGGCTCGCCACAGCAATGCGGGTGCCATGGTCATTTGGGCTGCAACGGCCAGCATGCCGATATGGGTCGGGTCTGCAAGCTTTTCCAACTGCGATAGGCAAGACCAAGCGGTATTCAGAGTGAGGCGTCCCACAATGGTTTCGGGTACTTGGCGGTTCTCAGAGGCCAGCGTATGAACCACGGTTGCAGGACTGACAATACTTTGAGTCCATTCGGCATGGACTTCGCTAGCATTTTTGCTGACAGCCTGGGCAAAGGCCTCGAGCATACGCGGATCAAGGGTTGAGCATTCAAGAACTACCGCGTGTGGGCGTTGGATGGCGGCCAGGTGCACGGGGGAATCGGTGGCACAGGATACAATAAAGGTCACGTTGCTGGGCAAAGTCGTAGGCAGCCAATTCAAAAGTGAGACCGGCAAATCAAGCAGCCAATCCTCTGGACCAGATTCAGCCGCCTAGCAAGCGCAAGTCCATCCAAGGAGGTGAGACGGCCAGCCCGCGCGTGCGTTCTTTGCCTTTTTTTTTTTTTTTTCCCCAACTGTAAACATAAGGTTTCAAAGTAAACGTATAGAGCTCTATTCATCGTGAGGGTTTGAGCGGTTCGTGTTGTACAGATACCTGATCAAGGTTGTCGAGGACGATGGCAATGGACTGTTCACTGCCCGGGCCTTGGGCATAGAGGTCGAGGGACCGGATCAACACTTGCAGGGCTTGACTTGCGTTAGGGAGGCCGGGAACGTTGGCCGACGCCGGGGCCAGCTGTAGCATGAGCTGTTGGAAGGCAATATCGAGACGATTATTGCCTGGTGTAGTTCCAAAACTATGCCAGAGTACACGCGTACTCGATTCGGCCTTGGCTGTGACCTGGCCCGCCCATCAAACAAATAGGCCACGAGGTATGATGACGTGTGATGAGTCTTCGGGGCGCAGTGACCATGAGTGCTGATAGGGCCGAGCGACGGGAGGATAATACCTGAGTAGCCCAGTTGGCTAAAGCAGAGCTCTTGCCCATGGCACGCGGACCGGTGACAACGACCAAAGGTCTTTCTGCGGTCAGGGCTGCGGAGAGATTTTCGTTAAACTGAGAGCCGGTGACAAAGTGGCGATCGAACAGGCTTGTCCGATGCAGGCGTGATGGAGCCGAATTGATGCTGATTTTATCAAAGGTGGGAGGCAAAAGCTCGTCCAGCATCTGTTCAAGGCCCTTGTGCAGCGCGGCCACGAGAGCGGTGGGCTCGGCTGGGCGCGGGATGGTGGTCGCACAGCAGGGGACGGCGCTCAGGTTGTCAATGTCTTCCAAAAGGGCGGCGGGGGCGGGGGCGGCATAACGCAGGTGCAGCTTGGTGCCCGCACGGACCACGCCATGGCCAAAAGCCTGACCATCGACCACCAAGGCAGATTGGCCCCCACAGGTGGCTGCAACAGCTTCGGCTAGCGCGCTGGTGAGACCGAGCGAGATGGGATCCTGGTCGGGCAGGATGGGGCCCAGTTCAGCGGGCTCGGGGTAGACTGTCAAAAGAACATGGCTTTGCTGGCTGAGGCGGCAGCGCAGCTCCCAGGTCATGGTATCAGATCCGGCAGCAGCGCTGGCATCCAACGCCATCAGATCTTCGAAAAGCAAGGTGATCCCCCGCGCATGGGCTCGGGCAGTCAGCGAGGCGCCGTGCTGCTCGCGAAGCGAGCGCAGGGCAGTGGTGGCTGCGGGCCCGGCATAGCTGAGGTAGACACGCAGCTCGCGCTTCTGTGCCACTTGTTTCTTAAGCCGGCGCAGATCGGCTGGCAGCTTTCCGACCACGAGGTTTGCGAGGGGGGCAAGCGATTCTGTCCCATCCCCCAACCCAGCGGACTCGATGGGCTTTGCATCCTCAAACCGCGCCGCCAACAAGTGCGCACTATTACGGCGCTCCATGGCCCCTCGCAATTCGATCTCCAAACACTCCTCCTCTATCCCCCTGAAACCCACCCTCTCCAACACCCCGGAATCCACAAAGCCCGGAATCTGCCCAGCACCATCAGCTCCAGCTCCAACACCGACTTCCTCCCGCTGTTGCGTTCGCTCATAAAAAAAAGAAAAAATTTGTTTTGACTGCGAACATGTGTGAGAGAGAAAACAAACCACAAGCAGCAAGACAACAGAGCCAGAGATGGAGTCGGATTGACTTGAAAATCCAGAGACAGACACTGTTGATGAGACCAAAAACACAGAGATTACAACCAGATAAAGAGAGTCAGAGAGGAGTGACAGACAGAGGCAGAGAGAGACACAGACTGAGTAGCATGTCGTTCGTTTTCACACAGATTGGCGCATCAAAATGTCGGACTGACCACGAAAACCACAAAACTCTGAAATTATGACGCTTGATATACATATGCTTATGTTTGCTGTATGATCACATGTGGTATGTTTTGAGTTGTTCTTTTGGCCCTATGGGAGAGAGTTGATCTCTCTGCTCTGTCGCTCGCGCTCTGCCGCTCCCCACCAATTGCCATCGTACTCTGGCTTGCGCCTCGGCCTTTGCTCGACTCAAATTGATGCTGTTGGTGTAGTTGTGTGGGAAAAGGTATCGATTTAAAGACACTGGGGGGAAAGAAGGGCGATTTGAGGGGCCAAATCAACACCTCAGTGGTCAACGTGATGACCCACTTGCGCCCGACCCCAGATCCCAGTCACAGTCTGGGTTATTCAGGTAGGCAGTTATGGAAGATGGACAACAAAACAAAAAACCGTCATTTACTTGACATGGCCTTGGCGGCCGTGCCGTGCCCTGCTTGCGTGGCAGGGCTGCCTCTATGCAGAGAGCCGAGCCTAAAAATACCACCGCCTCGCCCCCTCCCTCCCCCCA